TTTTTTTTTTTTTTTTTTTTTTTTTTTTTTTTTTGACCATTTCTCGACTTATCCCTGTCATCCTTGCGCAGGGGCCATGCTAATCTTCTCTGTATCGTTCCAATTTTAACGGATGTCCCGAAGGACCAGATGTCAAATTTTAAGCTCTCAAACCAGTCTCAATTAGCTCCTACCCTGGGGCCAGGTCCCACTAGCAGCCTTGAGTTTCCTCAACGCCCGAATCTGGACGTGTATGGGGATATGTGGGGAAATCGCTTTGAGTTTTCTCAACAGCACATCTCCACGAACACGTCCAGATTCGGGCGTTGAGGAAACTCAACGCTGCTAGTGGGACCTAAGCCCTGGGCTGAACCAGGTCCTCCTTGTCCAACCAAACGCTGTCTAAACATTTCTTTTTTTTTCTTTTCTTTTGTTCTCTTTTTCAGGTGTGCATTTCAACAGTTCATTCGTGTTCCAACTGAGGGGGCCTCGCCGCGCCACTCAGGAAGTGTGAAAAAGACAAACATATGGTGGGTGCATCTGGTCATGTTCTAGCTGGACGTTCATTCCGATTTTGCACATTTATTTATTACAGACTGGTGTGGCGATGCCCTGAGCTAAGGGCCAATGGTATGCCATTGCCATATTTTGTCTTTTCGGCATGTCGAGAGTCGTGGAGCGAGGCCCAGAGTATGCAAATGTGTTTCCACGGTGGTTGTGGTGGAGAGGGGGAGAAAAAGATGAGCGGTGATCCATGGACACATAACCAGTCATACCAGTGGTCCCCACAAGTGGACGGAAACCTCCGTGCACTTTACCCTGGTCGCCGCTCAAGCTGGGGCAAAGGTTTTCCCTTCCTCGAAGCCATGAGAAAGAGGGCTTTGCTCCACTACTCACCGAGTGTGTAAAATGAGAATGAATCTTGCACTAGAACGTGGGAAGATGCACCACCATATTCTTTTGTCTTTTGTGAATGTGGTGAGTGGTGGATCAAGGCCCGAAGGGGTCGAGTTTTCTTTTTTTCTTTTTTCTTTTTTGGAGAAAAAGTTTGAAGGTGAAAATAGCAGGGGGCCGGGGACCCACAATTCAACCCGGTGTGACTCTGGCAGCATTAGCCAGTTTCGCTTTTTACGGGACTGCTGAGACCCGAATGCATTGTACAAGCCACTCTCTTGTGTTCCTACCAATTTTGTCTGCCAAAGTACTGCTGGGACTGGGTCTGCGGTGGTGCTTACCCCTACGTCCTGTGCTGCGCTCTCCTCTCCTGACCAATGTGTATCAATGTGCGACCACCCTGAGAATGTGGAGGGGTGACCAAAGATGTTCGCAGCCAGGAGGCTGCGCTATACCGGTTGCATTTTGTCGCGTAGCGAGGACGTCTTTTTCAGGAAATGTAGACGACGGCGAAAGGGGTTTATAGGGCGGTAAGATGGGTAATTGAAGGGTGCGGTCGCTGTCGGGGCAGAGACCGGTAGGCCGGGTGGTCGCGAGTGCGGTTGGAGGGGGGCAGACCAGCGGTCACGAAAAGCGGTCGGCGGGCCGTTTTCATGGACGGCGCCCGGTTTTCCATTTCGGGCGATATCGCGCGAGGGTGCGATTTTCGGAAGGCCGGGCCGAAGTGGGTTTGGAGGTTTGCAGAGCAGGCAGTCGGGGTGTTCGTATTCGTGAAACGAAAAAAAAAACACTAGCAGCAGTGAGTTCCCTCAGCACCCGTATCTGGACGTGTTTGTGGAGATGTGCGGTTGAGGAAACTCAACGTGGTTTCGTGCACATCTCAACAGACACGTCCAGATTCGGGCACCGAGGAAACTCAACGCTGCCGGTGTATCATTCGGCCATCGGCCCCGCCACATGGGCAGGGGTGATCTTGTTTTTTTTGCCTTTTTTTTTGGGTCTAAATCTTGGTTATTCGAGCAACAACGGAACTGATTCTGGGGAGGGTGTGAACTACCCCCTTTCCCCGAACACAACGCACCCGCATTTGGCTGCATCTTACAGGAAAGATCGCTTGTATGCATTGGTTATTAGGGTGTGTTGTGTTCGGGGGATGACAGTAGGGAAGGCCGACGATTGACCGGACAGGTCGGGACCGGGACCACCAATGCCCTGAGACTGAGATAAGGGCGTAGACGTATTCAGACTTTCTTCGGGTGCACGTGACCGTACTCACCGCTAAGTACAAGTGCCGTCGACAAAGTGCAAGCGAGCGTGAGGCTGGTCTCGCTCCCGAGTTGCCGCGCTTCCGCGCTTGCGCGGCACAGTACACCTGTGCTCCATTGAATTCCTGTGATCTACTGTAGTCTATTGTAAGCCTCCTGTATGAGATGCACAGGCCTAATAAGGCGGCCTGACCCCGGCCTACTTCGGCCGAGGGAAGGTCTGATAACACAGCCTTCCCTGAGGGGAAACGACACTCTCCTACCCTCCCTACCGCCTGTGACCAACTGCGGCCACCGACAGGAACCGAGTGCCCTGGTTCGTATGAATGCTGTCGCCTTTAACGCTGCTACCCCTAGGTCTGTTGTTAGGAGCGCTAAAGCTAAGAGGGGGAAGGGAGTTGGGGGGGGGGGGGGGGGGGGGGGGGAGGGGCCGAGGGGGACTCGCGTGTGGGGAGGGGGGGTAATTCTGAGGGGTGTGTGGGAGGCGGGGGCGCTGTGTGAGGGACTATGGGAAGGAACTGTGGTGAGGGAAAAGGAGAAAGGATTAGGAGTTAGGGGGGAAGAGGCTGGGGTGTTCAGGCAAGAAGCCATTGAAAGATGACCAGCGAGCCTGCGAGGGTTATCGCTGCCAGTTGATTGTCCCTGGCCCATGTCACCAGGAACCAGTGTCGACCTCTGGGCGTACGGCCTCTTGCTGCCTTTCTTATCCAATCAACTATGATCATGGCCCTGAGCCAGGCTTTGAGCTTCAGGATGATGGTTGCGTCACTTGTCCATTGTT